AGGCCGATGCGAGAGGTGAAGGTGCGGTCGCAGTGAGGGCAGGTGTAGTCCTGATCCTCATCAGCAGTATCGGGAGAGGTGGGAGAGGTGGTGTCGGTTGTTGTGTTGGGGTTGGTGATGTGTGAGACGGCAGTCTGAACGGCCGCCGCTGGGGCAGTGGGGGAGGAGGAGGAGGAGGATGGAAGTGGTGGTACAGAAGAGTTAACAGTGTTAGTTGGCGGCAGAGAGGACGAGGAAGAGGCGGGCGGGGGGACGATGGCTGGAGCAGTTCGAGAGGTTCAGTTGATCCGCAGATTTTCAACAAGTCCGATTCGTGCCCGGAATGTCCGTTGACATCGAGGACACGTAGGGAGAGGTTGTGCGGCGGCGTTGCGTACTGGGCGAAGTTGTGATTTGCGGGCTTCGCGTTTCGCTTTGGCCGCGGCGATTCGGTTGGCTTCATAGATAGCAGCGCCCGTCTTCAATGTTCTCCTCCATGTCGGAAGATCGCGGGCGAGATCTTCCCAGTTGGTCGGGTTGATTTGCAGGCGCTTCAGGGAGGACTTCAGGGTATCCTTGTAACGGCGAATTTGGCCTTCTTGACGACGAGAACGCGTCGCGACGTCTCCGTAGAAGAGTCGTTTGGGTAGTCGCTCGTCGTCCATGCGCAACAGGTGGCCACTCCAGCGCAGCTGCATTTGTCTCAACATGGAGTAGATGCTCAGGATTCCCGTCCGCTCCAGCACATCGTTGTCAGGGATGCGGTCCCGCCAGTTCAGCCTCAGGATGCGACGGAGACAACTGAGGTGGAAGTGGTTCAGTCGACGTGCCTGCCTCGTGTACACCGTCCATGTCTCTGCTCCGTACAGTAACGTCGGCGGGATGACGGCCTTGTACATCTTCAGCTTTGTGCTCAGTTGGAGACCGTAGCGATTCCAAACTGTGCTTTGGAGGCGACCGAAGGCTTGACTGGCTTTCGAGATTCGGTTGGCGACTTCGTCATCAATCTTTGTGTTGCGAGATAGGGTATTTCCCAGGTACGGGAAGTTCTCCACCACTTGCAGTTGGTCCCATTCACGCTGATTTGCGGCGCGTTGGGGGCTGTGGCTAAGTTGGGCGGAGGTTGGTGCACCACCACGGTCTTCTGCGTGTTAATGATCAGACCGAAGTTCTCGCAGGCAGCGGAGAATAGGTCCATGCTCCGTTGCATCTCCGCTTCGGAGGTGGTGTTCAGGGCGCAGTCGTCGGCGAAGAGGATTTCGTGCACGGTAGTTGTGGATACGCGCGATTGGGAGTTCATGCGCCGGTGATTCAGGAGATGACCGTCCGTTCTATAAGCGATGCCGATTCCAGGGCGTTCGTCGCGGTAGGCGTCCATCAGCATGGAAGAGAACATAAGGCTGAAGAGTGTTGGTGCCTGCACGCATCCCTGCTTCACTCCGTTGGTCACTGCGAATGCCTCTGAGACAGCTCCGTTGTCCATGACTCGCACCATCATACCGTCGTGCAGCTGACGCACCATCTGAGTGAATCGCTCCGGACAGCCGAATTTCTGCATGATCTTCCACAGTCCTTCACGATTCACCGTGTCGAAGGCTTTCGTCAGGTCCACGATGACGACGGAAGCCGCATTGACTTTCCGGCAGAAGGCCCTGTTCCAGGTGGTTATTGAGGCGGTTGAGAAGGATGCGAGCGAAGATCTTCCCGGCGATGTTCAGCAAGGAGATGCCACGGTGATTGTCACAGACTTGGCGGTTCCCCTTTCGCTTGTAGAGATGCACGATGGTGGCGTCCTTGACATCTTGCGGGACTTCACCTTGACGCCACATCTCCTGGAAGAGCGCAGTCAGGTGATCCATCAGTAGGGGACCTCTGTGCTTGTAGACCTCAGCAGGGATTGCGTCCGATCCGGGTGCTTTCCCGCTAGAGAGCTGCTGCACGGCCCTGATGGTTTCTTGGAGAGATGGCGGGAGGTCGAGGTCCACGTTGGTCTCCACTTGCGGCAAACGCTCGATGGCGGCGTCAGAGATGGCGGAAGGGCGGTTGAGAACGCCTCAGAAATGCTCGGCCCATCGCTGTAGGATTTGCGTCTTCTCAGTCAGGAGAGTGCTGCCGTCGGCGCTGAGGAGAGGAGCAGTGCCCTTCGTCGGCGGACCGTAGACAGCTTTGATCGCGGAGAAGAAGTTCTTCCATTCGTTGCGGTCCGCGTAGCCTTGGATCTCCTCAGCTTTGCGAGCAGTCCAGGCGTCCTGCATCTCGCGCAGACGTTGCTGAAGTTGGCGGCGACTGCGGAAGAAGGCAGTCTTGCTGTCCTCAGTGGGGTGATCTACGTAGGCTTTGTGTAGGCGGTTCTTCTCAGCAAGCAGATTTCTGATGGCGGCGTCGTTGTCGTCGAACCAGTCCTGGTGTTGGCGGGGAGCGCGACCGAGGACGGCGAGCGCCGTCGACTGGACCGTGTCTCGCATTTGACACCTGCGGTTCTCCACGGAGGCGTTCGCGGCAGCGGCGGCATCGGCGATGGGGAGGTTGTGTAGCCGTTGAGCTAGCTCATTGCTGAAATGAAGATGGTGAGCAGGCAAAGACAACAAGGCAACATTCAGCTTACCTGGGGGTCGCTTACATTGTGGTCGCCTGCGAGGTTGTAGACGAATACGCATCTTCGAGATGACGAGGCGATGGTCGGTCCACCCATCAGCACCCGCGATCGCCTTCGTCACCAGCACGTCCCGCTGATCTCGCCTCCGGACGAGGACATAGTCCAGCAGGTGCCACTGACGCGACCGAGGATGCCTCCAGGTGGCCTTCTCTCGCTCCGGCAGACAGAAGAACGTGCTCGTCAGGATGAGGCGGTCATCTGCGCAGGTGCGGAGCAGCAGCAGACCATTGCGTTCGAGCCGCGGAGAACATGGGGACCCAGCACTCCTCTCCAGGCAGTATGGTCTGTGCCGACGCGGGCGTTGAAGTCACCAAGGACAATCAACTTGTCCGCCTTCGACACAGTCGCCAAGAGGGCGTGCAGGTCCTCGTAGAATTTGTCTCCTGCGGCGGCGTCGGGGCTGGTCATCGGCGGAGCGTAGGCGCCGATGATGGTGGCGAATTTTCCCCCACCCCGGCGGAGAGGCAGGCGGAGGCTCATCAGACGATCGTTGATTCCCTGCGGCAAACAGGGTAGTCGTCCCACGATGTCGGTCCGGATGGCGAAGGCAACACCCGCGTCTCGTCGCTCTGCCTTGGGTCGACCACTTCAGAAGAAGGTGTAACCGGCACCCACCTCCTCCAGTTGGCCTTGTTAGGAGAATCGGGTCTCGCTGAGTGCGGCGATGTCCACCTTGTAGCGCGCCATTTCTCGTGCCACTAGCGCCGTCCTCCGTTCCGGTCGGTTGCTCCTCGGATTGTCTAAAAGGGAACGAACATTCCAGGCTGCCAGAGTGAGCGGGCGCACCCTGCCAGTCTGGCCACTGCGGCGGCGAAAAGTAGGAGTAGGAGAGGAAGAAGAATAGGCTGGAAGAGGAAGAGAGTGATTGTTGTTGTTGTTGTTGCTTCGGTTTTGGCTGTTTCGACCGTGTGTTTTTTGTCTGCGGCCACGGCCAGCCTACAGACAGCGTGGTTCCCAGCGATCTTTAGGGCACCTTTTCTAGCCCCCTCCCCCTCGCGGGGGCAGGCAACGCATCCCTGAACAGGGCTGCCCGGTTATCCCAGACGGCTGCCGGACTCCACTATGGGCCACGACATTTTGTTAGTGAGAGAACGACCCGAATTAGTCTGGGACCTTGGTGGTGATGGTGATGTGATGGAGTGAAGTAGGAGAGAGCATACACACTACATAACGCTATGGGACTTACAGCTAGCTAGAGTGGACAAACAGACACAGTCATCAGTCAGAGACAGAAGTGAGAGGGCACCATTCAAGTGTCAAGCTCCGTTGCACCTAGCTCTTAGCAGAGAGTGGCATAGACTGACAGACAGACAGTCGCAGCAGGCAGCGAGGGTTTCGTCTAGCTATTATCAGACTGACTAGCATACAGAGGGCAGGCAGCAAGAGCAGCATACGACACGGAACTTCAACAGACAAAAGGAAGAAACAGAGCAAATGCGCTTACCTGGGGGGGGGGAGAGAACTTACCTGGTGGCCTCCTGCGATGGTCCAGGCAGAGCCTCGTCTCGACGATGTCGACGCGAAGATCCATCCGTCCAGCGCAGACCACATTGCCGCGCGTGCAGGTGCACGCACGGATACCCTCACCTGGTTTAGCCCGCCGGTAGAGACGGTTGCCCGGGGTGTGGCCGCTGAGCAGAGCCCAGCTACGTGGAGCCGCAGGTGAGAGTTAGGTGTCAGCAAATGGACGCTAGGCGTAGTCTCACATGCGAGCATCACGTGAACCCACCGCTGGACACCCCTACACCCCACACACACACACTCACTCTCTCTCACACACACAAACACGACAGTTCGACCGTCGATTTCGATAATGTCCACCGTGTGCCCCACAGCTGCAGCAGCGGTGGGAGCAGGGACGGTGACTTACGCAGGGGTTTATAGTGCCAGTAGACTTGCGTAGCATCTACCTACACTCTCTCCTCCTCACCCGCCTGAGCCCGGTGTCAAGACAGTGTCAAGAAGACCGGAGACGGGGGAGGCCGCAGGTGGATGGCTCGGACGGATCCTTGCCTTGGCGCTCCACTCCTCACCCCCTGGTCCACACAACAATGACCAGGATTTTGACCACAAAACCATGGGGTGGTGACAGTGGTCCAGTTGTGCGACGAATGCCGACAACACGGTCCGCCAGCGCACGCCGCGATTGTTGGCATTTGTTACTGCTCACAGATAACGCCTTCCAGAGTCCGATGTGGCCCCGTGTTGGTCCAGCGCATCTAACACGTCCAACCCCATATGCGGACTAAGTGTTTGAAAGTCAAGGAACAATCAAGTGTATTTGCATTGGTGCTTTGTTTTTAGAAAGACGAAGAAGCAGACGCCATTGCGGAAATACTAATTTCGTTAGACTGACCTCTCGAATTCACAGCATCAGATAATGATGGATGATGCAACCCTTGTGCATTCATGGTATTCTTCCTTCGGCCTTCGCCAGAACACTCATCTCTTGCACTGTGACGCTCGAAAAAAAATCCGGACGAAGTATCCCAAGAATAGCGACATAGGGTTAGTCGGAGTACGTTTGCTGTGGCAAGACAGTTTCGTTTGGCCAACTCCTGAATGAAATAGACTTGATGGTGTTCACTAGCCCCTTTAGCCACAAAAATCAGGCTTCCCGCTGATGTGCCTGAAAGTCCACCCGCAGACATGGGAGGACCTCGTTCAAGGACGATAACAACAACGACTCACCATCGCCATCCTTTCCGATTGGCCACAGAGGGGACAACGTAAATCAAATATTTGGTACATACGAGGAGCACCTGTCTGTCTGGATCCCCCACCATCTGCGCCAAGGCGTAGGGACCAGCAATTGTTTCGGCGTGCCGAGCACCCGTTGTCGAGGCTGATGTGCCTCGAGTGCGCCCATGCGCGTGTGCGTGCGTGTGTGGATGACCTTTGTCCGCCAGCAATCGATCAGCACGTGACCGTGTCACGTCGGTTGGCGCGTGGGGCTGTCGCCAAGTCAGGGCCAAGTCATGTGCGTCGCACGCATTCCACTAACACGAGGTTTTAGTCTGAGCGAAGTCCTTTTATTTGATTAATGAATTTTAGTGAACGCTGAAATTCATTTTGGATGCTGTATGGAATTTAGCTTGATGAGGAGGCGGCAGGCGCAGGGTTCGTTTCTACTGTCAGTTTCGTTTCCTCAAGGAGGCA